GAAACTTCAGCAGTCTTGAAATGGTAATATCCAGGTTTAATGAAATTCCCCAGAACAAAACAGCTTTGGCCAAGCATACTAAGTAACATGATTGTATTCTACATTGACTTTATTCATATAGAAAGTAACATTGCTAAGCATTGACATATAACAGAACACTATAATATCCCTATAATATTACTGTCATAATCATAATAACTGTCTAAGGGTTAGACAGTTTTTAGTTTGGCAAAACCTGTTCTGCTCTGTCACCTCTTCTGTTTTGCATGTTTTAAGGACAATAAAAATAATGCACTTTCTATAATGAAATGTCTGAGTAATGATTAAGTTCTGGTTAGATCTGTACATTGCATCATCAGACATTTGCCAATTTACAGACAACTGGATGTGCAACAATCATTTTTTTATCACACGCAATCCTCTGCTCTGTCTTTATCCAGGTGTTCACAGCATTACTAATGCGTTTCTGGTTTCTGACCACAAACAGATACTTACTGTCAGTCATCATGCAGCCATCAGATTTTGTCTCACTCGTGCTGCCACTCACCATTGTCACGTATGTCCGAAACGACGAACCGTGGAGACGCAGGAGAGCAAAAAGACCCTATGCGTAACGGCAAGACGGGGGATAGCCCGGGCTCAAATGCCGTATAGAATGCCGTATAGAAACCTATGACCTCAGGTAGCGGACATGGGGCGACCTGGTGCTAGGTGGGTCTCAGGACATCCGAACGTCAATGCTGAGCATTGGCAGAATGAAAGTCCCGGTAATAAATAGCCCCAGAGAGAGAAACACCAGAAGGACAGCAAAGAACCGGAAATGAGAGGAAGGACAGAGAAGGAGCGCCCTCTGGGTGCAGAGAGCATGACAACAATCACCTCCTTTCTCTCAATACCCTGCACTTGGATGTCATATGGTCTTTACGGATGAATCTCCAAATTTCTTTGATCACCTGAATGAGCTCATGCTCAAGACCTGACTCAAAGCAGTTCTTATTAACATTCTCCAAGTATTGTTCTGTAATGCTACGGGGTTCACGTGGGTATGTGCCCTCGCCACTGCCACCTCAGGTCGGCCCCCCACCATCGGAGACTCAAACCCAGGCCTCCGGCGTCACTCAACAGGGACCCAGCCACTTGAGCCAAAGGGAAATCTCCCGTCAGTGGTCCCTGCTATTCACAGGGAAGGGCGGTGACGTCACCAAGCTGCTAAGCCGGCTTGAGCAACCAATGGTGGCCGTATGCGTTACAGTACCTATCCTCCTAAGTTTCTTTATGGAAACATTTCTTTACATGCTTCTTGAATAATTCTTCATTTCTTACTAGATAATTGTGAAAAAAATATCACTGCCAAATAATACCTTAAAACAGACATCAAAAGGATTGAAAGTGTGAAAAGGACAAATGAAAGTAGACTGCTGTTGCTCAGACTTGAAACCAGAATGCCTTTTGTCTGGACATGGATCTAACATTTTGACTTCTGTCTAATAAAACCCTAATGTGATAGCTTTCTTTCTTTTTAGTCAACTTCATTTGGTTGAGAATCTCAAACCAGTGCTTTAAGGGACTTTCCTTTCTAAGTCTTTTTGTGATTGGCTAATTACATTGTTTCCCTCACAGATGGTAATCGGGATGTTCCAGTTAGCCCAAGCTCGTATTTCTTCATGTCCAATAGCAATGGCCAGGGAGAAGAGTGGCTGAAGACACTCAATAAGGTGGTGTGGCTTCCATTTACAGGTAAGCTTTACTGCTCAATGCATTCAATAAATAATGTGAAACTAAAGTCATCTGTTGTCAAAGAACAAAACCAGCAGTAACACCTCATGTTCACCCCACCCCTCAACCCATTCTTCATTCTCGCAGTCTCAGATTCCCTAAGCATGATCAGATTTACAGCATTGATTTACTACTGAGATATTCACATACAGCAGCCATATCACCCTGCAACTCACAACTGGCAACCACTGAAGCTAAGCAGGTGTGAGCCTGGTCAGTACCTGGATGGGAGACCTCCTGGGAAAAACTAAGGTTGCTGCTGGAAGAGGCGTTAGTGGGGCCAGCAGGGGGCGCTCACCCTGCAGCTCATGTGGGTCCTAATGCCCCAGTGTAGTGACGGGGACACTATACTGTAAACAGGCGCCATCCTTCGGATGAGACGTAAAACCGAGGTCCTGACTCTCTGTGGTCATTGAAAATCCCAAGGTGTTTCTTGAAAAGAGTAGGGGTGTAACCCCGGCATCCTGGCCAAATTTCCCCATCGGCCTTTATCAATCATGGCCTGATGTGTGGTGAGTGTTCTGGCACACTATGGCTGCCGTCGCATCATCCAGGTGGATGCTGTACCTGTAAAGCGCTTTGAGTGAAGTGTCCAGAAAAAAGCGCTATATAAGTGTAAGCAATTATTATTATTATTATACAGTACGCGCACTGTACATTGTAGCCAGTTTTCGCTTCTGCCTATAGAATTATCTAAGAAGGGCAATATCTGAATATTGTTGAAAACGTGCTGTTGAAATAAGAAAAGAGAGGTGTTTGGAGTATTAGGAAAAGAGTATTTGTGGGCAGACTGTGTACTGTGTGCAGTACACTGTGGCAAGTGGGCTAAGGGCTGTATGAGTGTGAATGCTATAACCCAGGTGTTTGTAAGCTTGTGATGTGTAACTGACTGCAACTTACCAAGTGTCTGAGACGCTCATACTGGAAACTCTTTCTTATCACAAACAGACAGTCTGAAATACTTTGATGACAAGTCTACACTTTAACAAAGCAAAGCAAAACACAAACCTCAACAAAATGCTATTCAACTCACAGAAAGCACCTAAAACCATCAAATCTAATTTACTTAAAAAACTATTCTTTATTTTTTATACTAACCAGCTTTGTTTTTTCACCAATTAGGAGTCATATCTAATAAAACGTATTGTTTGGCATGTTGTGTAATCCCCCTCATGAGTTTGAATATTTTATGCTTTTCTTATCATAAAGTATTAATATCTGAAAATGTTAAAGAATTTTTTGTTTCTCCCAAAGGGATGTTGTTTTCTTTTTCACACAAGAAACATACACAGAATGTGTTTTTAATTAACTATGACAGATTAATTACTGATAGTTGTAGCTTTAAGGTGATAGGGACAAAACATCATAAAAAAACAGCTGTATGTTTACAAAGTTAAAACATAACCTATGAAGACAGGAAAAGAAAAAGAGGCAATCTATGATGGAGGCAAGAAAGTATAGAAATGAAGAGTGGTGTATAAGTACAGAACTAGCACAGTTTTGCACTGTGGCATAAAACCCTAGGGATATCTGACAGTATGTGCATTTCCAGGGAAAAAACATACTTTATGTGAAGGTAACCTTGAAACAGTTTAACTGCAAACAAGTGAAACAGTCATGGATTGTTATCTATTTCTCCTCTGGCTATTGATACAAGCACTAGCTGTGGCAATCAGTAAAAAGTTTAAGGAACATGTGACGTCCCTTATCTGGATAACATTTAAAAGTTCTATTTGTATTTTTTTACTGTATTTTCCATTCCTTGTCAATACATTCATATAATGCCAGATGATTAACAATAAACTTTTTAAATGCATCCTGATTTGCACAAACATTTATTTACTCACAGTTAAATATATACAGGACTGCAAATCCCCCAAATACTTATGCAACAAACAAAGCTACCTGTAACTCAACAGGAATTAAATGCTCATTTAGAATTAGCACGTCACTGTCATAATCTGTTCTGTTGATGAAATGTTAATGTAGTTTACAGCAGCAGAATCTGCAGACAATCATCATGATCTTGAATGGATCTGATCTAAAGAAATTTTTCAAATGCGAAAGAAAAATTAAAAATATTTATGTCTGAACTCCTTAGATAGGAGTATAAAATTCTAAGACCACATCCAATTACAAGATACAGCTAACCTATAATGCAACTATAATAGTGAGTGAAATTCAAAATGACTGAAAGGTCAAATATACCCAATCTTATACCCTATCAAATAGTGCCTAGTGCCATATGCAGTTGCAGGAATCAGGAGTTTCAGCTGGTCACTGACATAAGGAAATGTTCTATGACTCCATGTTGAAATCCCACTCAGGTTTCTCATTCACAAAAGATTTTATAAGGAAACAGCTTGGTATAGCTAAATAGTTAACATTGTTCAGTGCAACACACATAATAGGCATACTACTCTTGCATGTCTGCTTCAGAGACAGTAACTACAACCAGGATGATTGATTATTGATGATGATTGTTTCTTAAAGAAAAGTTTCTCCGCTTTGCAGATCCCACCTGCAATCCACTGTGTCTGGAAAACAGTTGCATGTCACCACTTGGCTATATGCCTGTCATCAGCCTTCTGGTTGTGAAGCATGTGTGGAATGCCTGGGAATCGTTATGTTTTTGTTGTCCTGCACAAATACTTATCACAAAAATAAATCCAGAGTTGGAAATAGCAAGGAATATTTTAAACTTCAAGACATTTGCATCTGACCTTCTTTTAGAAGTGCAATTCTAAAGCCTAAAACCATTTTTTTCTGTTTGGTGTTTTTTCCAAGCATTTTTCTAACTTTTAACTTAAAAAGCAACAAAAAAAAAAAACACTTTCAATGAAAACAGAAAACCGGATAGATAACACAAAATTGGGTATTTTAAACTGACCACATTAATATTCAGGTGGTCACATATTGCTGCAAGCCTTATCTCATCCATTGGAATAACCCTGCAGGACAAGAAAGCAAAGGAGCGTGGCACATTAATGCTGGTTCTTGGAAAGTTAAATGTTTCATAAAACAGTAACACTGCACCTTCTAATTAATGATTAGTCAAAGAGAGAGCATGCTGCTAACAGACTGAGCTGGTTCCAACTTGGCCATAGTCCACCAGTTGTTTTGAAGGGTTTGAGAGGGTGGGTGGGGTTTGGGGGGAGGAGCAGTGAAAAGCAGATAAGAGGAAAGTCTTCAGGAATCTCACAGCATACTTTCAATGTGACTGCTTGTGGTGCTTAGTTGTAGATGAGAAAAAAATATGCAGGGTCCAACCAAAGTGAACACAGAGCAACACGAAGTGCATTTGTGAAGTAAGAGACAATCAGAGAGACGTGAGTTTGTTGAAATCGAAAGGGCAACAAGGATTTGGATTTTCAGTAATTGCTACAAGGATTTTGTGTGTGTGCACTGAAAACTAACAAGCTGTGATGATCAGATGAAAGCAAACTTAATCTTTCACTCCAGTGAAAATTTTCCAGTGTATATTTCCCCGACTGACAAGCTAAAACCATTTACCCAAGACGTCCCAAGTATGACTCCAAAGGATGCGTCAAGGTCACTGAGAATGCTTCTCAGAAATGGAAGGAAGTTGGCATGAAAGAGGACAATCCCGGACATATATCTGATTACCTTCACCAGAGAACTGACCAGTACAGATAGTAGATGAGGCATTACAGCAGATGTGGATTAAAACAGCAGAAGCGTGAAGTCTTCATTTTTAAACTCTGCATTTATTACATTTCACAGAATGTGGATTAAAACTATTATTGCAGTCTCTTTCTCAGACCTAAATAAGTGATTGCAATTTGAAAGGCGTTGCCTTATTAATTTTTATTCAGCATTGTTGTTACACCCTGGTTCAGGGATGTTGGATGGTTTATCATAAAATTAGAGAGAAGCACAATCAAAGAAGGAAATCAGATTAAAAGTTCATTTTAAAGTATTCTGATTCAACCCTATGTCCTGCTTGAGTGCACACCCACAACACTGTCTCATCTGACCTTGCTCCTGTCTTCATTAACTTTCTTTGTGAGAGTTACACTCTGCCTGCAGACATCCTCTCTTTTTTGTTAGCTTTGGCAGCTGCTAGTTTTTAAGTCTTGTGTTATGTGTGTTATGACCAGAGAGAGGTCTTGTTTTCACTCGCAAAGGGCACATGGGACCATGCAAACTCAATAGCCAAATTCAGATTAAATTTGCCTGATATCTTTGGCAACCTCACACAGGAAGCATCATCCTAATTTCCCGAAAATTGACTACTTTCTGTTTCTCATCAGGGATAGTCCTTTCGACTAGTTTGCTGCAGACTAACAGGGTAGGTTTTAAAAGTTCAAAGAAAAAAGGCAATCAAGTAGCAAGATGACACCCTTTATTAGGAAACAAATACAAGCAAAATTTTCTTATGTATAATTGCATGATAGCAATAGTCCTTTTTATTTGCAAACTTAGATACAGGTCTTTGCTGGTTTTTACTTAGTGAAGTTGCCTAATTTCATTCTGGCAAAGAAAGCTGTCAGATTTTAGATTTCAAAAATAGTTTTTAATTTTCTTCACTTTCTGTCCATAAATTCTTTATATTTATTTCTCAATGACAAATATTGAATGAACTGTATCCAGAAAAATACTTCCTTTATCAGTAAAAAAGAGGCAACAACAAAATCTCATCACTTGTGAGAGAAGAATAGACCACACTCACTTTATGATATTTGGCAAAACATTATCAAACCACTTAACTTTCTGGAACTGAAATGGAAACCTAACACACTGGATGGACCCAGCTCTTTGAGAAGTCACAGAAATGCCTGAAAATAAACAGATTCTTACTAGAACCAGCAGTTCTCTTTCCCATTCTGCCTATAGGAAGATTAAGAGGTGTCTGAGCTTTAAAAAACGTAAGTACAATCTGTTACACAATATGTACATCAATATGTACATCAGAATTCATATTTGTTAATACTCCTTGAGTCCAGTGCCTTGTTATGCAAATGCTTACTGTATTCAACGTGTCACATTCCTCTACTTTTCCCTTCTTAATTTTCATTCCTAACATTATAAAAGTGCCTTTAGATTTAATAAAATGTGAAAAAATAATTTTCTTCAAGAATAATATTAATACCACCTGTTAAGAAATGCTTGTAATATTGGCAAATTGTGTTTTTTTCTGATCTTTACTTCCAGTCGAATTCAAATCCAAATCCAAAGTCAAATTAGCTGTGACATCGAATTATTTCTACTTAAATCTTTGTGAAGCTGATTCTGTCCAATTCTCCACACAAATTTAATGGAAATAAAACTATTCTTTCTTTGCTAAACTCAGATTAAAAAAAATACTTTTACATCCTGTGGAAGAAGGGTTGTTATCTCTTTGAAATGCACAAAATACATGGAGGTATCAAATTTAAGTGTGGCTCACGTATACAGTATGTGTGCCGCATTCATAAGGTCATGCTAAAGCTTTCTATATAATGTTTGGTAAAATAGCCCTTTGCATTATAAAACACTCTAAAAATTAATGCAAATATTTAGTTGTTAGGTAAAATGGAGTAACTAAGATGTTTTTTGTATTTAAAAGAGTCCAGGAAGAAAGACTAAAATTGTGGGCATTTCTTAGTTCTGAGAGTATTAGCTCGTATCCCAGTGTGTTAATAAAGTAGATCAATGCAAATAATGGTTTGGTTTAGCTTGTATTGTTTAAAACATTAATTTCTTGGTTGCATGATTTTTTTACCTGAAAAGCAAAGAAGCGCATATTCACAGAGCCAAAACATAAAACAGTCAGAGAGTGCCTCTCTGTTTATTGGGCAGGTGTGTTTGGGCAGCGGCTGGAGGACACTGTGCAGTATGAACGCCGCTATGGAGACAGAACAGCCCCTCTCATAGTGGAACAGTGTGTCAGCTTTATTCAGAGCCATGGGCTCCTAGAGGTGGGGCTATTCCGTCAGCCAGGTCAGGCCACTCTTGTCAAAGAGCTACAGGATGCCTTTGATGCTGGAGAGAAGCCCTCTTTTGACAGGTACCGTAATCTGAGAGAGATTAATCAAGGTACCATAATCAAGAGACCCACTCTAAAAGAAGCCACAGTTACTTTTTAACTGAGAACACCAATATGCCAGTCAATATTAAAAATTAGTGTCTAAAAATAACCTACACACAATATTAAAGTCTAAACAAAACTGTCTAATCCAATATTTAAGATGCTTGAAAGATTCACTATGTTGTGAGTGGAAAAAACTTCTTAACAGGGCAAGGAATTCAATTACCTCTGGAAGACGTGAATGAATACCAAACCCTTAAATGACATTAAAAGAAAGAAGGAGTACATCTCAGTAGCATTGATGTGGGTTAGCCAAGATGTTGAGTAAATTCAGTTTTCATCTATCACTGGATGCCCACTTTAGTTAAAAAAAGTTAAAGACTCTCAGTTAAGCCACCAGCACGCTCCAGTACAACACAAAATAATCTACACATGGTCACAAATAACTAGGTACCTTTGAAAAGACAGCTAGAATAGACACAAAATACATGTCACAGCAAGTAGGATGCCTAGTATTTGGCTTGGATGTTTGAGGAGCTGCTGGAGTAATACACAAATGTCTTCATGGTTTCTAATTCTTTGAGTTAAAGAATTCCTCATGTGGAAAGAATAAGAAACAAATTGTTACACTTGTGTTAATCATGGTGTTTAACACATTCCAGCAGTACAGATGTACATACAGTGGCCTCTCTCCTCAAGCTATATCTGCGGGAGTTGCCAGAGCCTGTTGTGCCATTCTCCAAGTACGATGACTTCCTCCTGTGTGCCAAACTTCTGTCTGGAGGCAGACAACAGGTACAGCGTCTTCTGTGATCATGAAAGGGCATGCTGTGTGTTCATGGAAGACACATTCTGATCTGTTTCCAATTTGTTAGATTACTTTTTTCATGTGAAATGACATTCAGTGTTGAGACACATCATAACCAAACAACCATTTTGAGGTAAAGTTAAAAGCCTTTTAATTATACCAGTGGAGTACAGTCATAGTACAGCCAACACGACTACATGTGTACAACTGCATGCCATAAGTAATTTGTAAACCATTAGGAATCATTCTCTTGTAATCACTAGGTGGCACTAATGTCTTGTAAAATGTAAGAATAAATTTGATATTTTTTTGTTGTAACAATACACTTTATAATCTAAACATGAAGAAATAAAAAGCAGTAAAAGAGCAGTTGCATTGACGTACATCATTCAGAATTATCCACATCTTAAGATCACTATTTCCACTTTCCTGGTATCATACAAACACTTAATTTTAAATGTTTCCTCTCCTATCTCTTACTTCAAACACTTGTTACTTAAGTTAGATCACAAAAGAGGATTGTAAGCAAGAAAATTAAATCTGGCTTTATTATTATATTGCTGTAGGGTTTGGTACAACTAAAGAAGCTCTTGCAGGAGCTCCCCAATGCAAACTTCAATCTTCTGCATTACATATGCGGGTGAGTACAAACTCATTTTTTCAAGGGTAATGTGATTACATCTAACATTCTGATTTTATTTTTTTCTGGTGAAAAATAGCACAGGTGATGCCAGTCTCCTGCCAGTATGGAAGCTGGGGTGGGTTTGAAGGAAATATAGGACTGCTCCCAGGGGGTGGATTGTCCCACTCAGAGGTTTTTTTTGTCTTCCAAAGGGTGACCACATGGATGTTTTTTAAACTGGGGTTAAATCTCTACAAGCTTCCTAAAAATCAGTGAATCAGTGAATGCGTCTAAATATATTAAGAAGTGTAACAACTAGTCCTAAATTTCATTGCATGTATATATATATTTTTTTCCTTTTCTACAGCTAGATGCATGAGAAATGGGTGATTGATGTTTTAATTTTCTCCTTGTTGAATGTGTTAAACACCATGGTGAGATGCCTTTTCTTTAATTATACTGAGACGGATCATGGATTTCCTTCATATTTTAGGTTTTTAAATGAAGTTCAGTCCTATTGTCACATAAACAAAATGAGCACCCAAAATCTGGCAACAGTGTTTGGCCCAAATCTCTTGCGCCCAAAGGCTGAAGATCCTGAGACCATCATTGGAGGTAAGTGGGAACCTGTACTTTACACTAAATCTCCATTCTCTCTGGATAGATCAGTTGAGGAAGCTGTTTCATTTTATACATATTTTACCTGAAGTTTACCTCATATAGTCCAAATACTTCAGATTTAACTAAAAGTAGTAGTACCAGTAATGCAATGCAATTCTTTCTTCAGTATTGGTACACCTCAAAGAGTGTTGTGTGACACTGTTATATAACCTGTAAGTCAAGTCCAGTACCAGTGTCCCAAGTGACTTGCCCTGATCCACATGGAGTCTTGCGGGGGGGTAGCAAAGCTCTGCTGTAATTTCATCTCCCACGCACTCCACACAGTAAGGAGGCAGGTCTTAGGCTAACCACAGCTGTGTCCTGTCAAGAACCGACTCAGATGAACCACTGAGCTTGCACATTTCTTTTCTAAGTGCCCTGTCTGTATGCTTCCCACAGGAACAGCTCTTGTGCAGCAGTTGATGTCAGTGCTGATCAGCGAACACAGCAAACTGTTCCTCAGTGAAGCAGAGGCCGATGGAAAAGATTGTCTTCTAGAGGCTCACTGTGGAGACTGTGGAGAGAAGCCCAGAGAGGTGGAAAACACAGGACTTCACTCCTACAGCCTGAGCCCTGCCAGTGAGTCAGACAATCTACCCAGAGAAACACAGCTTGTTCCCAGAGCTTGTGTCCGTCAGCTCTCCTTACCTCTCATTGCTGCCAGGAGAGGATTATCAAAGAATCCAACACAGGCGGATCGTTCAGCCAGCTCCCAATCCCACATAATTTCAAGGCCCAGATGTCAGTCGGAGATGGAAATTCAGGCCTCTGAGGAATCTTCCCCTGGGAGTTCCAGTGACCCTCTTTATGACAATTACTGCTCAGGGCTGGCCTGCCAGGTGAGGTTTGAGTGCCACTCCAGGGAAGAAGAAACAACAAATGAAACACAAGCTACTTCCTCTCCATCTCCTTGTCATTGTACAAGAACCACTCAGGGTGGCTCTTTTTCAACCCCTGTGAACCCACACAACAGCTTGGAAGAGGACAGCCGCAAAACACAGAGCTGTGCAGGGGAGAAACACAGAAGCAGCCTGGTGGAGGGAGAAAAGAATAAAACCTACGAGAGCATGCTTTCTGTGTACGACAACATAGAGAGCGGAGCCCTACTGCCCAAACCACAGGAAATGACTAGCATAGACAGCACTTCTTGGTCCTCCTGTGAGATTGTACTGGTGCACACACCAGAAAGGAACAGGGTGTCTTACTACAGGGCTGATCCAGAAGAGCTCCCAGCATCCTCCTCCTTCAGGGGTAGCTCTGCTCTAAGTGGGAACCCTAGGAGCAGTAGCAGCAGTGAGGTGTTCTTCGCACCTCAGGAAGCCTGCAGTCCATCCAGCCCAATGACCATGCACAACCTCCTCTCAGGACTAAAGCAGCAAATGGCCAAGCAGAAGGAGGAATACGAAGCCCAGATCCGAAGGTAAGCAGATTCTATCCCACAACACCATTCCAGATGCATAGCCAGCTTTCTGTGTCATTCCCATCTGACATGACCATGTCTACCACTTTAATTTTCTGAGTTTCTTCTTTTGGGGTGATAGGTAGGGGAAACCAGATTTATAAAGCTCCTAAAAAACCCATTTGCAGCTCCTTCCCTCCTGAGTGTGAACACGATCATGTATTAAAGCTGTGTTTTACAGATTCTAGGACAGAGCTGCTCAGCTGTGCAGTCTATTAATATGGAGTTTTGCAATGGAAAGGAAGTAAAAGATTCATATGATGCAGTCAAATAAATCTGAATAAATAACCTGTCAATGTTATTTATTTTTAATTTTAATTTTGACGGCGAGACGGGGGTTAGCCCGGGCTCAGCTGTTCAGGAAATGCCGTATAGAAACCTATGCCCTCAGGTAGTGGACGTGGGGCGACCTGGTGCTAGGAGGGTCTCAGGACATCCGAACGCCAATGCTGAGCCAAGGCACATGAAAGACCCAGAAATATATAGCCCCAGAGAGAGAGAAACACTGGAAGGACAGCAAAGCACCGGAAACAAGAGACAGGACAGAGAAGGAGTGCCCTCTGGCTGCAGAGAGTGTGACACAAGGAGGACGATTTCCATAGTAATTAACATACAACTCAAATACAGCACAGTTTTTACTAGCTAATTTATTCATCTTTACTTGCTAGCATTAGAACTGTGGAAGATGGTCTGCAAGTCAGCAGAGGTACTGTCCTGTATGTTTTGATATATCAATGTTTATGTCCCAAGTATCCACGAAATCCAAGTTTATATGACATATTGCAGTGAGAATCATGGCAAGCAGACCATATGGGTGGATTAAGACCCCAACAGGAAGTCTCTGCAGCATGGAGGCAAACACCTCATTTATCATGCACATCTCTGCTTCCACAGACTCTTGTCTGTGGACAACAGAATATTCCTTATTCTGACATCAGGACCTATTTAAAACACAGTGTTCTGAATTTAATATATGGATTTTAGGCATGGTGTCAATAAACCCAAAGCAAGGAAGATAACCAGCTATGTTGGCTACAGAGAATTGGAGCACCAGTCTTTTAGGGTGTTACATTGCTCATACCTGAGACCAGGTCTAAGGTTATGTTAGGGTTGGGTTGAGGAATTCCACTGGTGTTAACTAGCACATTGATTGATTGTATTGAGAATGCTCATAAAAACATAGAGCCCTTGTAAGGTATTCAGTCTGGAGAGAGAAGAACTTAGGTTGCAAGAAGCTTCATGTCCAGGGATGAGGTAAATAAGGTGAGGATAGAGAACCCCTGGGATAGAGAGACTCCCCTCTGCATGATCCTGGTCTGCAAAGAAAAAACTTTGACCCCATTTTTGCTTTAAGCCCCAATAAGGTTGATAAATAGAAAATGTAAAGCTAATTAGTTTGTCACTGACAAATTAAAAATTAAAATCCAGTTTTGATTTGTAATTATCTGCATACTTAGCACTATTGTTTGCCCATCAAAAATGTATTACATATATACTGTAATAAGATACGTTTATGTAAAGTTCCAAAATCTAAATGGAAATTATGTCATGGAGCTCTGATTACATGTACTTTTCTCTGGAGTGAATCTTTTTTGATAGCAAAACTGATATGGATTTCATAAGGGAAAAAATGCTGCCCACTAGATGTTAAAAGTGAATTAACTTTTCATTATCAAGATATTTTTATGTTTAAACATACAGTCAAAAATAATATGGAGCAATGAAAGCTTCAGAAATAGTTTGTAAACTAATTTTTAAATGAGTTTGTAAATTGGTCGGATCATGTCATGTTATCATTTCATAATCTAATTACAGATAATTTCTCAATTCACAAATTCATTTCACATTCATGAAATTCTTTGGAGTCAGAGCTGTGTCCTTTGGAAATTAATTGATGCAGGATATATTGATACTATATAAATATCTATATTAAACAATAATCAGAATTGTTTAAATACATCTACAAATATTTTATGGGTTTTCATTTTTGATTACTATGACAGATAAGAAATTCTGGAAACCTTTAATAAATTACCAAATCTCTGTGAAACATGAAAATAGGAAATATCTGCAGAAAATAGACACTGTATAAAATGCTCTAAAAAACAGTTAGACCAGGGATTTGTAATAAATGTTTGTGACATCACACTCTTGTCCAGAGAGAATTGCATTACAGTTTTAGCATCCATGATGGTCTAGAATCAGCAGATTTGACAGGTCTTCAAAGCATTCCTTTACATCAAATATGTTCACAACAGCACGTGAAAAAGAAACATCCGTGCCATATTGCGGTGGCTTCCAAGTTTTGGCAGCAGACACAACTCTTTTCTTGCCCTTGATTTGGCCAGTCTGGAGCAGCGGAATGAAGAGCTGGAGAAGGAGGTGAGGGACCTGCATAGCAACCTGGAGCAGCAAAGGAGGTGGTACAGCGTAGTGGAGATCAAGATGAGGAACGTGGAGCGCGCCAGAGCCGACGCCGAGCGGCGCAACAGCATGCTGCAGCGCGAGATGGAGGTGTTTTTCGACACCTTCGGAGAGCTCACCAAGGAGGCCAAGAAAACAGAGAGGATTGTGCAGAGCTTTTGATGCAGTGCAAGCAGGCAAGATACAACCTACTGGTATCCTTTGACGTGAAAGGCAATTGGATCTTAACAAGAGACAAGAGGGTATTGTGTTAGAGCACCTTAACGATCACAAAGAACATTCGTACCTTACAACCTACTGTGGGAAAGTTTTTCTTTTTTTCAGCTTTCTTTATTTGGTTGTCCAAGGTGGGGTTTGCAGGTCTTTAGAATATAACCTCAAATTAGGCACTTTTATTTCCAGCCTTCTTGTTTTTCTTCCCACATGAATTTCAAATGACTTTAACGGTCAACAAGGTACCAACTGTTTTTAAATGAATAATGTAACTTTTCAATCTCCAGAATGTTGGAAATACTCTTTTTCTATTGTAATGTACAAGGAAAACCGCTGCAGATTTTCATTTTTTTTTTCAAATTTGGTACATGAGAGCTGTGAAGAATTTTCGTTTAAACTGTTACACAATGTCAAATCTGGACATTTTGGCAATAATCTGCAGTGCACGGACAATACCTTCTTCTTTCAATGCAATATCATAAGCCTAGAAATATAAACTGATAGGCAAAATAGTGTTGACAATAATGGAGCATCTAAATGTCTGGAGGACCTAACAAGGGTCTCTGGCCTTCCCAGCTCAATTCTTGTAACAGCCTCTAATCACAAACAACCACAAAAAACATCCTTTATGAATTTTCACCACACAAATGTGTTAACATATACTGACAATTGCAGACATTTTTGAGTGCATTTTTTGTTTTTATGCTTTTCTGATTTAGTAAGAAACAGGTTGTTTAGTAATTTAGAAATTGGCTGTTAATTGTAGGAATTTTTATTAATGCAGACTATAACCACTCACATTCATAAATTAAATAGGTAAATCCAGGAAATTTGAAACTCACAGGAACAAGTTTTTATGAAAGAACAGAATCTCTCTCAGCACTGTCCATTTTATTACTGTAATAGATCCTACTGAATGTTATTCTGTAGGTTTGTGTCATATTACCTATCCTCCTATAAATGTGCTGAGGGATTCTGTCACTTGTTATGCTAATTAATTGATACAGAAAATAAACACTCAGGAGTAGACTTCTCAGAATTAATTGGGAAGAAGTGTACAGGAGCAGCAAATTACTGCCCCATATTAACTGAGAGACAATCAGGAAAATGTACACCCTTCTTTCATGTACCATGCATGATGGGGTTATGGTCGGCTAACTGGGCACCTGGGGGGACACAACAAAATTACCTACATGGCTTTAGTGGGAACATCAGATTTCACAGAGAGGGTGACCCCAACACAGAACAGAACCTAGGACTCAAGAGCTGTGAAAAGAGGACTGCTAACCACTCAACCATCCTCTATTACAGGTGTAAGGCACTGAACTCCTAATACCCTATTCAGTTCTAATTCACTTTTAGGTTTTTTTAAGGTGACACTTCTTGGAATAAACCTGAGTGTGGCATGTCTTATTAATATAAAGGTATATTAAATAAAACATGAGTAACAAAAACTGGAATGCCCTTGTAGGTGAACTTAACTCGAGAAGTTTCAAAACATTCTGCTATTGTAAGTTCACTCTTTATTTATGCTTTTACACATTGCAGGCAGAAGATGTACAAATACTGCAAGCATGGCCCACTAAGACCTGCCAAGAATCTTGTTTTCATGCAAAGCCGGGTTTTCATTACAGCAGCTCAGTAACATCAAATCTGTTCATGCAGCCACCTTTAGTGTGGACCCTAACAGTTGTAAGATATAATATGAAAGAACATAAAGTACAAATATTACATACCTACCAGATATCCAAAGGAATTATCCAATAACGGCTATTTTACTTGTTCAATACTTTAAGCAGAAAATAACTTCAGTACAGAAAACAATTTAGCTTTTTGTGTCACCAGAAAACTTAAATCTTGAGAGGTGTAATATTAATGAGGCAAAGTGATTTGTTTGTTACAAATCTATCTTTCACTGCATAACATGCCTGATGAAGCCAGAAACAATACAGTAAAAGAGTAAGGTTGCTGTGTGAAGAATGGCACTGCTCCCCCATAAATTCTTGAGAGGCTTTGAAGAGATCTGCACCCACGGCTTCCTTACCCTGAGGAACTGGTGAACTACACTTGCTTTGAAATGCTGGGACAATCTCTTGAAAGGGAAGTTGAGTTTCCGCGCCACTAGTCTGCTTAACTTGGGACCAGCCAAGCAGCTAGTAACTGACATGAGAATCAGCAGAATAAACTTTTATCTGATCTATTGACCCTTACTGGATTTCATTTCCATCATACACTTACCACTTTTGTTGTTTTTTTTTTCAGTTACAAGTGAATGCAAGGGACAATGCAGCTTACCAATTCCGGAAGCTGTGCTAAGAATGTTATCCAAAAGCACTGCAAGCACACCTGAACCCAGGATCTAAGTGCTTCAGCCCTGTGCCTACCTCAAGTGGCACACTTTAAATGCATTGTGTTTTGGCTGGAAAGAGAAATGCTATTCACTCAAGATGCAAATAAGCACTTTGAAACTAAAGAGCTAATAACCCTTACCAAATAGCCTAAATATTTCAATAGGCAATTCTGAATTATCTATAAAAACCTGGGACAAAATAGGGACACTACTTTAGAAATATGTTAGTCATCTAAAGCATATTTTAGTGCAGGATTTAACAACAGTATGTACTGAATATTTCAAATACAATAACCAGGATAACATCTGAATACATTCCTTACTATGTCACTCTTTATTTTTATTTTTTTTTTCTTATAACATTTTGATGTAAAATGCAATCTTGTTGAAGGGAATTGCATAATCAGTCTGGGAAAGCCGGCCTACTGGAAGCAACATTACAGAAAGAGAAACACACCAGACCATAAAATCCCTGAGCTTCCACCAGGGGGAGCATTGAGACAAACAATTGCAAAGTACAAGCAGTTTCCAAGCACAAATGGCACATGACTTCAATTATATACAGTTTGTAGCAGTTTTCAGGTATTTGTCACCTTACAAAGAACTGCCTTAATTGAATTTACAAATGGCAGAGAGTAAACACTCAGACTGTAACATCAGGTGACAAATTCAAAACCTTACATAGGTCAGAGAAAATGATCTGTTGGTGTAATGAATGTTTGACGGAAACAATACAAAACACACATGTGCAAAAGCCTCATTACAAAATCATAGTTCTTGAGAAACAAAAAAAACATTCATCGAATGAAACAAGGTGAAAGCCTTGCTTAATTCTCATAAGTATCAATAAATGTTATTTGATGTTTTCAATGGAGCGAAACCAATCAGGAAACATGCAGATAGAGTTGCTTTCTCACTGAGATTAAAGGCTAAGTGGTTTACAATTCATCTGTACTCCAACCATGGAGCAAAAATACTTTCAGCAGTGAAGCTTTGTCCCGATCATGCAAACTAGCTGATGTTATGGGATACTCCAGCTGATTTAGATCTCTTTAAAATGTCTGCAAGTCTATTCTATTTGTTTTGATTTATTAACTTCGGTATATTGGTAAAGGTTGTAACTTTTAAACCATTCCATGATGGCCATGGTTATGTTAATATTTTCAGTGAATCTTTAGAATCAAACATTCCAAAATGTGACAAAACCAGGTGTATTTATGACTTGACATGTTGTACAGTATTTCTTTACTTTGAAAATTTTAATTTATATAGCCAATTAAGGGGAGGAGGAGAATTTTTGCAAGGTTTTACGGAATTCTGTATCCTTATCATGTGTAAACCGTAACTAAAGCAAGACTCTCCTGAGAGATTTTAAAACGGATGTCTTCAGTGCTTATCAGTGATAAGATGTGGTTCATCTCTTTGGAAGGCAGCTGGTTGTTCAAATTACACATGGCACGTACAATATATAGCAGTTAAATGCTGGTAGGAAAAAAAGGTCAAAAACTAATTGAGCAATGAGTAGAATTCCTATGAGGTATACATGGTAGGATTAGTTTTTGCCTTCTCCTAAAACAAGGATATGTAGTACAAATAAAAAAAGAAATTGTATGTTTGGAAATTAATCTGAATAGACCAAAATTAATAGGATACAAAAAGTATATGCTATTTTTTTCCAAGTGCTATTTTCTCATGTGCATGTTAATCAGGTGTGTGTGCTCATTTATTCATGTTTTTCTGAATATAAAATTAAATCTTGATTGAAAAAAATCCAAAACGTTTTTCTAGAAAAATGAAAGTATGGCTTCCCAATTCTCATATTAGATTTGTCTTTTTCTCCCGTGTTATTTCAGGAAGGTTCGATATACAGTATATAAACATCACTTTTAAGTGAATGGCCAGGCAGTATAAGATGCAATGATTCGGTTCCAGAATGGTGCAGGTTCTTGCAGTTACTTGACATACTGTACTGCATCTTCTCCATTTCATCTGTGGATGGTGGTGGCTTTGTGAGTCTCAGCACATCTTCATGTGACATCAGTGGGCTAGCAGAACCACTGTAGTGTGATCAAGTAAAATAAGGCCTGACAACTACTTCCAGGATTATTGTTCATCTAAATTCCCACTATCAAAATGGTGTAGCACAGGATCTTTGCGCCACCATGATCGTTTGCTCAGATTGCACATTCTGCAGCATTACAGCCCATGGTGAAGCATCAAATAAGTTTCTAAAAAGTCTTGTGTGATTGGAGTGTAAATGAAGATTTAGCAGTAGATTTGATTACTTTCTTAATAGTGTTTTCAAGACCAAATAGGAGAAATGTAAAACACCTATGTTTTTGTCAGTAAAATCAAAATCATATCAAGACTAAAAATAAAACCAAAGAAAAATTTCATGATAATCTTGTTTTGAGAAAAAATTTAAGATGTAACCAGAGAAATGTAAAAATGATCAAAATATATTACACATGGCAAACATTTGGCTAATTGTACATGGTTTTATCTCCACTTTATCTCCATTTCAGAAGGAAAGACGTATGTGTTGCACATAGAGATCTCGTATGACTTGTACAGCAAATTAAGGCAAGACTGATAAAGGTCAAATGGCATTCTAATGAAATGTTTAAAAACATCAATTTAAACTGTCCCCTGTAAACAGTATTTACATTCAATGGTACAAGCTAATGTTCTAAACCAGTTGTGAGTATTTGAGAAAGATTAACACATTTTTTTAGTTAACACATTTAACTTACACATTTCTTTTTTACAGCTGAAGGTAAATGTTTTGGTTTTATTTCACTGTAAACAATTCAGTAGCAAATGTTTTCTTGGTGACAGCAATAAAATATTAGCTCCCCTATCAATTCTGAAAGACCATATTGAGAAAGAGGAAAAGACAATGAGAAGAAGATTGCACATTAGTCCTTTACCTCTGCAGACAATACAGATAAGGACAAATATTAAATTTAAAGATAAGGCAGAAAAATTAAAAGGCTATAAAAGTAGAAAGGCATGGATCTTCATCAGTCTTCATCTGACAGCTAGGCAAAGGCTTCACAGAAAACATACAGACAAGATTTCCCAAACCACACTCAAGAAAATCCAGGACAAAGCACCTAAGTCAAATCAAAGCATGATACCACTACATCCGTAACTTGATTTTATGACACCAAATTTTGTGTCATGCAAATGAAAACACATCTGTAAACCAATCAAAAAGAAAATGTAAATTGTTAATGCAACTAAAAAAGCAAATGTTATTTTATATATTGACTCTTAATGTCTTCTGATGATTATCCTTGTACTCTCTGAGATTAAAACCATTTTGCAAATGAATCTCATAAGAATTGCAGATTTTATTGAGCCCATAAATAGTCGCTGAAGTCAACATTCATAGAACGTGGCAGGGAAACCATGACTGTAGTGAAAATTCAAGACCCCTAAGCTATGGCAATAGCCTAGCGGTTACAGTTACCCATGTCCCACAACTGAATTCAGTTTATTTCTGATATATAACAAGCTACAATGAGCAGACTTTAGAGGCATAATACAAATAGTTACACTCTCTAAGAAGTGAGAAAGTATTTGATCAACCAGATCACACACTGCATTTCACAATTTCAGGGTCGAAGAGTGAGAGAACTAATCCTTGATAACAACTACAATGAAAACAGAATAGCAATAAAGTATTACAGTGGTATGCTTAAAGGAGTCTTTTGTAAGCACATTTACATTCATTGTGAAAGCCAGGCAGGGGCTTTTTTAATCACAGGAGTGTGTTCTCAATATATTTCATCTTCTTGGCAGCCACAGTTTGATAGGTTTCAGCAAAAAAATCAAAATGCTTTGAAACGGATAAATGCCACCTTTTTGCACCTTAAAGATTGTAGTCTGGCTGCAATATTGTTAGCTCCCTTCAAAGGTCAATATGTTTTCCCAAAATTGTTTTTGAATCAATTTCCATTTCCAATCAAGAGTGGTTACTTTTGTTTTACTGCAATCTGCCAGGTTACAGCAAACAATTCTGTAGCCCAAATAAATACTTTGGTATTGTTGATGAAGTTTAGTCACTTACCATTTTTTCCCCAAACACCCCCACACGAAAAATGTAATTCTTAGTATAAGAGACTGTGTGAACAATTCATCTGTAAGGCCTGCAATGGTCAGTTTCAAACTGCAGCTGCTTTTCAGTTTCACCCAAGCATGTAGCTCTGTTGACCTCACTGTAGGAGGCAGATAAATTTAAACTTTACAGTTGGGAAGAAACCCCGAACTTAAACAACCTATTTCAGATCAACTGATATTACTGTGTATCTTGCCTCTCCATTAATGTACAAACCTTCTTTTCCTTTACAAATACATAAACTATACATTATACTGTATGAAGACAGAAAGACTTTCAGACAAGTCTATTCAGGAATCATATTTTAATTTCATAACAATGCAATTTAGGTAAGATTGTTTCTGAGGTGACTGAACAATGGCAGTACCTTACCTAAGGTAACAAACTCAAGTGGGAAGACATTATTCCCATCTGCTGTGCTGTATTTACAGGAGTGTGGGTTGGAATTTCAGAAAACTTTTCAAGACTGCAGAAGTGAAAATGCAGTCCATCCAAAAAATGCTGCCATCAGTTAAACAGACCATTGTTTAACTGTCGTCAGTAAAGATTTGTTCTCAAATAATTGTTTTTTTCTCATGAGTTAAGGAAATAAATTTAGCTGGGTGAATATCTCAAGGAAATGTCTGCTCCTGTCAAAACAATCTATATCCTTTAAGTACTGGATAACAGGACAACTTTACTGGATTGTAAGATACAACAGATGGCACATAAGGAGCAATGAAGAGGCCCTTAAAACACACAATAATCTTTATGATTAGAGACAGAGATCCACTCTAAAATACAATGTCATTCTATTAAAATTAAGTGAATGACTCAAACATACTGTATGCCTTTTGTATAATGTAAAATGCTACAAAAAGCACAAACAAAAAAATTACGCGGCCACAATCAAAAAGCACTGGGGCAGAGGTCTAAAACATATATTTCCTCTTTTTCTTTTGCAGTTGATTACTCAAGTCATGCACTTCAATAAAGTTACACTTGCCCAAAACACTAACAGCCTGATTAGAAGTATTTTGGTCATTAAATAAATAGACCAACTACTGTATGTAACAGAGAGCTCAGGTGGAAGAAAAGTCAGGTCCTCAAGGAACTGAATTTGAGAACTCTGCTCTAATGCATACCGTTTAAGGTCTCTTTAACAATGCAGAAGTTTACAGAACATTTGATCTCATTAAAACTCCCCCAATTTATCACATTTTGCTAATGAGTGCATCATGATCAAATTCACCTTTTCAAATGAATAAACTAGGTTTGTTTTGAGATTGGAATTAGATCTTCAGCACTGGGTTTTGGAATTAGGGATTTAAATACATCTGGGGTTTCTTTTGCAGATTAAAGTGCAGAAATATTACACAATTCACTGTCATTTCCTTATATTTCCCACACAATAATTAACCATGGAATGATCAACCTTGTGAACACACAAAATTATGTGCAAAGGCGCTAGTCATCTGACAATAGCAGACTAAAGCTTTCAGTTCAAACTGCACGATTGTGCAAATTGATTTCACCTGTCAGCCTTTTTTTATGCCAATAACCAAAACATCATGGTGATCTGGTTTGTTACACAAATAAGTTCAAATAAATGGATATGTGTTCCTTCGTGTACAGTATATGCCTCTTTAGACTCTTGGAGCAGCTAAAACACTTTTTTCCCCACAAGATATATGCAAAAAAACAACAACCCAGCTTCACTGTATTTCTGTGTTGGTTAGGAGGATGCGTTGCCTTTCGGACTCTTATCCACTGTAATATTGATGCTATGTAATAGAAAAGGCAGGCATTTTCAATACAATTAAGTAAAGCACAGGCATATTTTTTTACAACATGCAGAGACATTTTAATATTTTAATAAAGGTCTAGAACAGCAGATATTGCTCAATTGGAGGGTAGGCAAAATACTTCTCGTTAAGGCCCGAGTGTGAAAATCTAAATAAATTTATCTCCCTTCTTTCACATGCCCAGAATGGGCCCTGGATTTTTTGTAGATATTTTAAATAAAACTGAACTGTGCTTATCTATCTTGAATTTTATGTTCCGAAGTCAGGAACACCTGTCTGAAACCAAATGAGCAACAATGTAGGAAAGCTCCATGATGATGGAAATAATATATTCTTTTACATTTAAAAAGATTACCTTTAAAAAGTAAAAAGTGCAAAAAAGTGATGCTTCCCCATAGATTACACTTTAGCAGACATTCTTTAAAAGGCCTAAAAACATTTACAGATTTAGTATGGAAAGTCTTCCAATTCTAATACAATTAAAAATGAATTCATAGTGTTTTTGGCAGAAAGGTTTGTTGATTTCCAACAAATAAGACAATTTATGATGGTAAAGATATGAATGTGGTTTTTGCTCATATGTGCCATGATAAAAATCCATCATTTTGCTTTAAAAAAAGTGACAAAATATGAACATCTTTCATCCCTCAAAGGCAGATAAGACACCAAGGCATGAACAAACTTAAAAGTTAAAAAGAAGAGCTATTTTTGCATTGTGCGGGCATACAGTACTTCACTGAGTCCCCCAACTGATCGACACGGCTGTTCTATCACATGACTTCTCATATAAGCCGAAAAAAGATACGTACACAATATGGTTCAGCTCACTTTTCCAAAAAGCGAGCTACAAATCGCGGCCCGAGTAGCACAAGCTGCTTGCAGTGGATCCGGAGAGACGGTTTAGTCCGTGAGGGAGGGAGCGCTCAATGGCACTCTTCCAGGTTACTGGTCAGGGCGTCGATGCTGCTGCTGTCCGTGTCTGAAGCCAGGGTCTGCTCTGTAGACATCGAAGAGATGTCATTGATGGAGGAGGACTGCGAAGCAGTGGTGCTGCTGTTCACTGCTGCATCTGTGGACACACAGGGGAGCACTAGGTGTCAGCAGAAGTGCAGGAAAACAGGGCTGTACTCACAAACATTCCCTGATTCAACCATAACCTGCCAGGACTTCTTCAGGATCAGCAGTGAAACAAACCAGAGGATGGGAAATTAAGAGCAAATACATTGGGTACTGAGTGCAGAGTAAGAACAGTAATTTCTTTAAACAAAAGGGCTGCAGGAGACTGAAACAAACTACTCTGCCACACTGCTGTGGATATCCTGGCTGGATAAGGAAGCCTATGGCTGGATAAGATACTTATGTTTCCAACATGCAATCAAAAAAGCTAGAAAGGCTGCAAACCTCCACTCTTTTGTAACCTTTCTAATGTTCCTAACTCTCTCAAGACCACCAAGGGCTCATCACTAACAGCTAGGTGCCGGCAAAAACATAAATTGTGCTTTACATTTATCTCTACACAAAAACTTTAAAGGTCAGAGCAGTTTTGTGGCTAAGGTCCTTTTTCCCCCACATGTTTGGGTTTCAAATGTTGCCCAGATATGAAGAGCAATGTGCCTGCTGGTCTTAACCTAGCCAAAGTCAAATCTTACCTGACGGTTCCTCTTTCATCACACCATTCTTATTCCTCTCTTCCCAATCCATCACTTCTTTGTAGATTAGTTCTGAAATACAGACGGTTAAGTCTTTAAAATTAGTTGAATAATCAATAAATAAACAAGTATACATTTTATGAACAAAAGACATTTTCAACAGCCGGTGAATTCTATATTAATGTAAGGCCTGTTCCCTTTTAAGTATAATTCAAGAATCCTTTAATTTGTTATCTTACCTTTCCATTGTTCTATGCTGTGCTCTCTCTCTTCCAACTGCTTGTCAGAAATCTGTGGGGGAGGCTAAAAATATCAAACATCTGCCATTACCATCCTTTTTAATTTCTCAAACTACTTTGTTTAAGCTGTTTCTGTAGCAAGGCTATACATTTTTATGAGCGTTATAAGGGACTTTCTTGTAAGAAACTTCTATTAGCGATAGAGTAAGCAGAAGATCTTGCAACAACTCATTTATTTCTAAAACTTTATTTAATTGTCAATTGTAACATTACTCTTGCCACCACCGTTGTACTGTAGTTTCTAATGTATCAATTCACTGTCAAAGACAATCGTCTCTCACTGTAAAGAGATTACATTCAAAATGGCTTCTCTTAAATAAAAGGAACATACAGGTATGTGGGATAACAAAAGTCCATACACCCTTATTAAAATTTCAGCTTTTGTTGATGTAAAGGCTGAATTTAAGGCAAATCATGTCAGACCTTTTTTAACCTTTAATAAGATCTTGTAACACCAACAATATTGAAGTAAAAAATAAATGGATCATTTTAGGACAACTAATTAAAACTAAAAAAACTGCCTTGGTCGCATAAGTGTGCACACCCTTTATAAAGGGGGTTGTAACTGTGTTCAGATTTAACTAAAATAAGAGCTTACAGATGCAGTCATTCAAAATGCACAGTACAACTCCTTACCACGCGAAATTATCTACAGTTCACAGCGTTATATCGCAGTATGTGATTCGCTGACCAAAATGACCGACAGGGGCACTCGTGGTGCATTGGTTGTTAGTGAAAGGATTTAATAATTTTATCTCTTTACTGTGCATGTTTTAATCTGCTTAATATTGAATATTAATATGGAATTTTACAACTAAAGGGACATTTTAGTAGCTGAACATAAAAAGAAGAGGAGCATAACGGTCATAAAGGTCTAAAGGTCATAAATGATATTAATTTAGGAACATAAACATATTAAATAAACTGTATATGGCTGGTATTTGTAGTTTAAATAAAAAAATACACATCAGTACTCCACTTTCTTCCTAAATATTTAAAGCATCAAAGTCTTTTATTCAGTTACATACTGTGGTTATTTTGGAAAAGTTTTTAAGTGCTCCTTCTGACTATATTAAGTTTATAAACTTCATAAGAAGTTAGAATGTTTTAACCTTTTCTATAAATATTTGCACTTGTTATCACGGCAAAAAAAATGATATGTTTTAGAATTTGATTAATATGGAATATAACAGATTTGCGTATCTAAAGAAATAAATAACGATATAATTATATTTATATAGCTAAAATTATCACAGTAGTACTTTTTCTTTGTAAACGTCTGCATCAGATTTACTCATTTTAACTCATTGTAATTACGTGAAAACATTTTGCCTGCCTTTTTCAGCACAAGCCTAAATTGTTAACCAGCGCATTGGTGTAATGGATTAGGTGTGTGCCTTGCATGTCTGAGGTTAGGGGTTTGAACCCAGCTGTCACCATGAGTTTCCTTTTAACAAATAAACATTTCTTTGAAAAACTAAAATCGTAAATATTATCAACAATATATTGAATTTGTTGGTATTTCTAAATATCACAACACGTTCAAAGTTAAATGAGTTAAGTGATTAACCTTTCCTATGAATACTTGCTCTCGTTATCGCAGTAAAAGAAACACATGCTTTTTAAAATCTGATTGATAGGGAATAAAATATGGAATCGCGTTTCTAAAGAAATTAACAATGATATTAATTTAAGGATCTTAATATATATATATTTATCTAGCTGGTAGTATTACTGTAATCCACTTTCTTTGTAAACAAATTTTATTTTTAATTTGACTCATTCATGCATGGTGAAGTATTATGTACACTATATTAACATATATTAGCGCTATATTAGCGCTGTATCACCTGCTGTATCACCTGCAAGTACACAGCCACCACCACACTCATTCAAGGCCCCTCAGGACAATTCTGGATCACCCAGACAGCATCTTGTACCTCCAGCAACCTTATTTACTGTATCTCTTGCAGTAAATGCCCAGCCATCTACATTGGAGAAACAGGAAGGAGACTCGGAGACCGCTTCAGAGAACACGTCAGGGCTGTGAAGATTAAAGATCTCTCCAAGCCCATTGTTTCTCATTTCACCTCTGACGGCCACGACCACACTAATCTCTCCGTCTGTGTTCTCAAAGACGGTTTTCCGAACTCATACATCAGAAAGACCACCGAAACTAAAATTATTCTGCAGTTAGGATCACACATTCTCCCTTCCCTTAACGACAGATTACTGTTCTTTTAAATTTTCTCCATTCATTGGAAGTTTCATTTCACACCTCTCTGCACCCATTCTGACTTCACACCTCTTGATTGGCCTCTCTTTCTGTCCCCTGCTCCCGGCTCTCACTCCTCCTCCCTCCCAACCTTTGTTCTCCCACTACTTTACCTTTGCCTACTGCCCTGTCTCTCTCACACCTGAAGAAGGCTCCACGGCCGAAACGTTGTGTTCTCTTTCTTCTTTTTTTCAACATGGAATAAACCTATTACTTGTTCCTTTGCAGCCTACGCATGCTGACGCAGCTACCCACCTGTACTATATTAACATGTTTTGTTGTATATATATATGATAACATATTCCATGTTAAGTTATATTAATATTGAAATAAAAAAAAATGAATTAGCCCATGTTAATACCGTTCAACTGGTTTAATTCAAAACACTTTATTCAATGGGGCAATTTAACAGACGCCCCGAGCCTTAAAACGAAATCGTATATATTGATATAATCGTATATATCGTATAATCGAGAATAACAAAGCAGTATTAAAAATACCACTAAAACTATAATAATGTGTCTGGTCATTATCAACAGTATTAATTTAATAATAATAATTTCAAGCTTCTTATATCTTTTTCAGAATCATTTTTTTCTTCAGTTTTCATAAGCTTTGCTTTGAGACACGATATTTCAGATGTCAATAACTTTGTGAACAAATGAAACAGAGCCTGCAACCCGCTGCAATTCAGACACAGAATGGTTAAAAACCAGAACAGGTGAGGCAGGCAGAGGGAAGGGGTAGGGAGGCGTCTTCCCACATCTATGACTAAAGAAAGTGTCAAAGAGAAATGGCTTGAGCGACATACAGAGCTGAAAAAGTTTGGTTCGGTCTTCTCTGCTTTAAAGGTACACTCCTTGTGGATGAATTTTCACCTCGAATGTTTGCCCACTAACTAACACACCAGCTAATACACAGAAGCAAACTGAATACAAATGTACTTGCAAGAAAAGCGATTACAAACATTTAAAAAAAACATACTTGCTTCATACCGTTATACTGTACAGTGTATTAAAACACTCTATGGTCACTACACTGCCCACTAAACGTCTTTGCCACAATTTCACGGGGGCAAGGTCAAATAGCTGATTCACAGCTGGATACAACTTTATCTTGCAAAAATTCAGATATTTGTCAACATATTTACTAAAACTATCCATCTCGGTAATCTCACTGTGTTAGTCTCACTGTACACCCCAGGGCTCACTCAATGTTCACACTCCCATTAAAATAAAAAATGTTTCCTGCATTGTCACCTTGCACCAGGGGGAAGGAAAAGCGCCCGCGGCCATTTTATTCACTGACAGACAAAGTCAATTAAAACTCATTTAAAGGGGGTCTTGTGTTAACACAAACTCTACTTAACAGAGCCTCTTGAAAGAGCAAGGTGACGTTCTGCTATCTAAACTATTTTGTACAGTTTTTAAAGTCACGCAACGTCTGAGTTAGGCAGGAACACGTCACTGAATCTTATTTTTTATTTCATTTTAAAAAATAAATATAAGGCAACCAGCAATCAAATGTCCTGTTTTTTTGCATGCATACAGTGCTATGTTGTATTTTACAGCCACTACAGTACAGCTTGTGGGAAATACATTTATTTGAACTGCATCACAGCTTAACTCGTTCAGAGCGCCCGACATTACAAACTCCAAGTTAAAAGGAACATTACCTTCTCATATCAAAATATTCCCAAAATAACCATAAGTGAACGAGTGGATGGATTTGATAATAATAGAGAAATCATAACAATAATCATGCAATCCAATCAAGAAGAACACTTCAATCAACATGAAAAGACTGTATAGAAATCAGTTAAAAACACTTTTTATGCACGTGGAGTCTTTGTGTAAGCTGTAAGTTCTTTTTACTTCTTAATTAAACATTTGAAACACTTTAATTTTGTAAACGCAACACGCATTCTGTACAGAAATAAAATCATGTTTTCTACAGGTGTTAAGCAGATTAGCAGGTTGCTGACAAAATAGCACACCGTCATCTAACCATACACCACTTCCCAGTGATATAACTTTAATAAAAACCAGATCTAGTACCTGGTGCAGTTTTGTTTTTTGAATTAATCGAATCCCAGGTGTGAGTTCATAAAGCCAGAATTACTATTCCTACATCTGCAAAACACCTGATCATCTACCGTAAAGGTTTCAGTGCTTTTTTATGTATATTCCAATCGCAACGGGGGCAGGGGTGTGTGGGGAAAGGTTTAGGCTGCAATTCAATTGGGGCTTTGTATTCTTCACACCTGAAACACTGTTTCCTCTGAAACAGTTTTCGTCCGTTTTTAGCTGATCTTTCGATGCCTACGGATGCTTACACAGCTCCCTACATGAATTCTCATTCTTGACTGAGAAAGCTTTAAAGAACGTGACATTTTTATTTTCAACAAATTGTAAATATGACGTTTACATTGGCGTTTTTATAAATTTTTCACTTAAGCGTATGGAGGAGTGTCAGCTGTCAAGGAGAGCTCTCCCTTTCCCCCCACAGACAGACTGATAAAGCAATTTTGAATTTTTAACTATCCAGGCATTGCAAGCCACTCCAGCAGTCACAAAAAAATAAAAAGTACCTTTTTTTTACTCCTTATGGTACCTGTAACAAATTGTCACGTTTCACATCCTTGCAAAACAATCATAACGTTCTAATCCAATCAAAGGTTTGATGTTTTATTTTAAACCGTTATCTTGACATGCAGGTGTAAAGTATAGTTAACAGCTTCAGATTTAAAAGGTATTGATAATATCTTCCATGTCGCATTAACATTGGAATGTTCTCACAAGTGTAAAAAGAGGCGAACCATAACATGTCTCCTCTATAACTCTTCAGTTTACAGAGACATTCCGCCAGAGCCACACAACATTGTCCAATAATACTCTTCTTGTGTCTAATTTCTAGTTTAGCAGGATTTTCACGATAAGCACATTGTTTAATGGGGATGACATTACCCACGTCTATATCACTGTACAACATAGGTTTGAGTCAGCGTAACTGTTAATAAAACAGAGCGCCTTCCAATACATATAACTACTGCATGATTTCGTTATCCATTTCAGCTAAATCAGTCAGAATCTCGAAGTGCCAATTGTAAAAATAACCCTTCTTCCCTCCTTTGTTTAACTTAAAGAATTTCGCAAAGAAATCCTTAATCATGATACCATCACTTCATTTATTCAGATACATAAATGTACGCCAGAGCCAACAACAAGCTATAATAGTGGACTATTTTTATATATTCACTGTATAAGAAACAAACCGAAAGTAATACTCTGATCGCGCTTTGAAACATTGGGTGCAGTGCTTTGTGCTACCACTACAAGGACAATAAAACTTTTTAAAAAAGAAATGGATGTCAAAATGTTTCAAAAATGTCCACCTGTAATATTTTAGCTGCTTAGTTACATGATTCCATATTCATATAACTATCAAGTGATATTAAATCACTACAACATTTATCTTTTTACAACAACAGCAAGTGGTGTTCTTACTACGCATTCTTAGAACAGGATAAAACATTCTAACTTTTTATGAAGTACAGAATATAAGCTTAATAATGTTAGAACAAGCACATTAAAACCAGAACCCATGTACTGTAAGTTACCAAGTTAAAGACTTTGATGCACAAAATATTTATGGATAATTAAAATATTTATGAAGGTGAAGGTGGAAGGCGTTTACTTTCGTCCAACTGAGCAATCCTGCTTTTATAAAATAAACCAACATTTTAATGATTAACATGCTATAATACAGTTTAAAATTATTTAAAGTCTAAAGAGTATACAACTTAAATTCTTAATTGGAAAAAGATTATCCCTCAGCAGTGATCGGGATTCGAAACTGGGCGTTTTCTGGCGACAGCTCATATGCTGTACATGAGACGTCAAACTTTATTAGCTCCACCTGGCAGCTTTACAAGGGGCTTCCGGATACTATTATCATAACATGCGGTATGATGCGTTATAATGCGGTATGATGCGCCACACCTACCAAGTTTTGACGCAGCTTTTTGAATGGCTGGATCTGGATCTGTACAAAGGTAATTTGCCTTCACCTGACATCAACTGAAGTAAATCTGTTTAGCCCTAAATACAATTAGCTGTTCCTGTAGGATTTCCCTGAAAGTTTCTTGATTGCATAGTGCAGAGACAACCATGGTCCACAAGGAGCTAACAGATCTATGGGATCTTATTGTTGAAAGGTACAGACCACGAATGGGATATAAAAGAAATCTGAAGGCATTACATATATCATGGAACACCATGAAGACCATCATTAAGAAGTGGAAGAAATATGACACCACGAGGACACAGAAAAAATGGGACATCCCTCCAAAACTGATGACCAGGCAAGGAGAAAGCTCAATGGGGAGGTTTTTAAGAGGCCAACAGCAACTTTAAAGGAGCTGTAGGAATTTATGGCAGTAATTAGCCACTCCCTGCATATTATAACCATTTTGCGCATTCCCCACAAGTCTGAGCTGTGGGGGAGGGTGGCAAGACAAAAGCCATTTCTCACAAAAAAGAACATCCAAGCTTGTAAAAATTTTCCAAGAAGACACATTCAGTTTCCCAAAACCATGTGGGAAAATGTCTTATGGTCTGATGAGGCAAAGGCAGAACTTTTTGGCCTTAATTCCAAGTCAGGATAGAGGGGAAAGTGAATAGCTCCAAATATCAAGATATTTTGGCACAAAACCTGCTGCCTTCTGCCAGAAAGCTGAAGTTAAAGAAGAATTCCACCTTTCAACATGAGAACCATCTGAAGCACACACCCAACTCAACCAAGGAATCGCTTAAAAAAAGGAAGATCAATGTCCTGGAACAGCCAAGTCAGAGTTCTATCCTATATCTGTGGACTGACATAAAGAGGGCTGTGCACAGGAGATGCTCTTGCAATCTGACTGAGCTTGAACTCTTCTGCAAAGAAGAGCGGGATAAAATTGCAAAATCCAGGTGTGCTAAGTTGAAAGAGACCTATCCAAACTTAGACTTACTGCTGTAATCAAAGCAAAAGGTGCTTCCACAAAGTATTAGTTAAAGGATGTTCAAGGTGAAAAAAGGTCTGACACAATTTGTCTTCATTTCAGCCTTTACATCAACAAAAGCTGAAATTACAATGAGGGTGTGTAGACATTTGATATCTACTCTTCAAGCATACATCCCATTGTTGAGATCAATACTGTTCCTCCTTAATGTTAAGGTACTCCTTAACATACAGCAAAACATAAAACTCATTAATGCATGCTAACCTTTTTCTTCATTCTACACAGTCACTGGGTCACAGACAGTAAGCATAGCACATTTGCAATTTGTCTGATTTAGCACTTATCCAGTTGTGGCTGCACACATACACTGACTACATTCTTAATAAGAATATTCTTGAACCCTCAAAGTTAGGTTGGAATAAATTCAATCAACTGATGCCGATTGCCAGACATGATCAGGATGCCTGTAACTATAGCAATGTCATTCCGTTGCAGGAGGCTGTGCTCCAGACCACAATATATTAAATCCCAAAATTTCTAGAGCCAACACAGAGTGTGGCAATGTACAGTGCAAATTTGGGTGAGAAATTTAAGGCACCCTTGATCAAATGTTTCAGAGAATCTTGAAGTGAAAAGAAGTTGACAAAACCTCTGCATTGTATAAACTTACACCCCAAGAAGGTTCCACAGCTTTGTGTTGCGTTTCCTTTCTTCTCTTTCAGCATGGAATAAACCTTTTACTTGTTGCTTTGCAAACTTAAATATGATATCTTTCTGCAAATTTCAATGCACAATTAATATTTATTTATAGTTTTACAGGCACTCAAAATAATAAAACAGCAAATATGTCACGCGTAAATGTCTGGGCATTCTGTCTGTCAGGACTTAGTAACACCTCCATTGGCACAAATCACAGCTTACAAATGTTTCCTGTAGCCAAATAAGAGTCTTTCCGTGCTTGATTTTGGAATTCCCCCCCCCCAGTCTTCTAGCTCAGATATATACTTGGTCTTGCTTGCATTGTATGTTTGAAATCTCCCCAGAGATTTTCAATAATATTGAAGTCTGGGGACTGTGAGCGCCATTCCAAGACTTTCGTTCCTGCAAGTACTTCATCATTGATCTTGAGGTATGTTCTGGATCTTTGTCTTGCTGAAATATCCAACCTCTTTTCAGCTTTATTTTTTCAATGACTCTGAGACATTAGCTTTTAGAATTTCTTGATATTTAGTTGAATCAATTCTTCCTTCACCTCTCACATTATTTCCAGTGCCACTGGCTGGGACACAACCCTAAGTATAATACTGTAGATCCACCCCTAGGGTTAATGGTTAGTAAGGTGTTAATTTAATCTAATGCATGACCCATTTTTCTCCAAATGCATCTTCTGTGGCTGTGGCCAAAAAGTTCAATTTTAATTTCATCAGTTCCAAAAAGTTTCTGGTTTATCGAGGTTTTATTTTGCTTACTTTAAGCGCTGACCACTGTAAATGGAGACTACTTTAAACGCTGACTTTAGTGATGAAGTTGTAGGAAAGGTTTCCTTCTGATACTCTCCCATGTAGATCATTTTTATGTAAGCAATGCTGTACTGTGGACCTGTGAACAACTGCTCCAGTGTCAGCTAAACATTTCTGCAGGTCTTTTGCAGATGGAACCAGTTTGCGAGCAGTTCTATCAGTCTTCCAGATCTTGCCTTGATTTCAACCGTTCCCTTTAACTGTCATTTCTTAAAGGTGTTTCTGACAACTGAAAATGCAAGCTAGAAGTATTTAGAGACCTTTTTATTGCCTACCCTTGCTTTGTAAGAGTGAATTATCTTTATTTTCAAGTCTGCAGACAGCCCATGGTTGTACCAAGTAGGCAGTTGGTACAGACAACAATCACAACCTGAGAGGTTAGAAGAGTATTTGTTCAACCCTGAAACTGTTTAAGGGTTCACTTAATTTAAGGTATAGCGAGTCAAAGTTTTGGGGCCTTTGAAAAACACAAGTTAAAAAAGTAGTAATAACTTATCTGGAAGGGTGCCCAAACCTTTTCAAATGCCACATTCACTTTTTATTTTTTCAGTCTGTTAACATCAGCAAATGAATTGTATTTTTGAACTATAATCTGCAGAAAAATTTAGAGGTTGCATCACCTTCTGTTCACTTAAGAGATTTGTTGAAACATAATTACACCAGGGATACCTAAACAGGTAATAGATATATGCACAGATACCAGGCTATTTTTAGAAGTCTCACAGCATCTGTGACACTCACATTTCCCTTTCTGAATCAAGACGACCAAACTCTTCATCTCTTATTCCTCATAATTAAATTCTAAAGAACTGCATTATCCCAAATAATTACATGAGCTGTGGCATATCAGGTGTTCTGTTCCTGCGATGAATCCATAATGTTGCTTTAATAGTTAGAAGGTCTGGATAACAACACTGTTAAAATGGCACAACAGAAAATAATTTAACTGGCATTCCACAAGATATCAGAAAACTGTTCACCATCTGAGCTCTGTCCAGACTTACCTTGAGAAACATTCCTCAGGAACCTGTTTTTGACAATGCCTTGTATGCCAAGAGAAAAGTCTACTTACAGCATCAGCTTCTGCAGGGTCATACCAGACGTGGATGTATGGGTGATTTAAAGCTTCCTGTACAGAGATCCTCCTTTCTGGGTCTATTACCAGCATTTTGGATAACAGATCCCTGGCCTGGCTTGCTACAATAATCAACAAAAGATATTATTATTAAAAGACAGTGCTGTTATATGATCATAAGCATTCAACACATCAGATTATGCAAAAAGAACTTTTCAAAGTTATTAAACCCCCTTTTCAACACTTAATCCTTTAACAGAATATTATCTACTGAGAAAGGAATATAGCTTTTGTACCAACGCCCACAAATCTCAATCTCAATTTAAATAAAAGCTATCCTGATTAACAAAAATGCTTAAGAACGAGTATCTTTAAAACTACATATTATTATAACTGTATGCTTATTTTTCTAAATTATTCACTTAAAATTTCTCCCAAAAATATTGCATTAAATCTTTAAACAATGTCCATACACAGTAAATAGGAAACAAAGAAGCTTACTTTTCAGCTTGTCATGTTCAGAGTCAGAAGGGAAGGCCCAATCTGGAAAGAGTTCCTGGAAGCTGACACCAGGGTATTGAGGTTTGTTCATCACATAGTTGCGGACTGTCTCCATAAGTCTATTCATGAACTCCAAGGAAGGTGTGCCAAGTACCTCAATAACTTTATTCCATTGATCAATATCTGACAGGATCTAGGTCAGGAAAATCACCACTTGCAAACACAGACATACAGTCACAACATGTACCTGTTCACGCTTAAAATATACTGAGCTTCAAAAGAAACTTAGCACTTATAACTGCAACAATTACACAGTGTTATGAGGAAAATGACTCTAATGACTGCAACGGTTGCACTGACATTTTATTGAACAGACCGTAGTAGCATGTGTGGCCACCATTGGAAGCACTGGGATTCTGTTCCACTTCTGTCACAGACAATAAACAAACATGTACTTGTTCATTAGTCTGTGAGCCTTATATGCTACACTCCATGGTCAACCTACAAATGATCAGCAGACTCATAAGTAAAAGTAGTGGATTCAAAACATGAGTAACATTCCCATGTTAAAAGCAAGCTGTTGTTACATATGTAGCATGAGCACAGAAGTAGTTGTACCCCAATGTTCTTGTGGCCGGATGAGCGTGAATGAAGGGCGGCAAGGGAGGTCCCGGGGACCTGACCAATGCAGCACTGTGCAAGACAGATGACAGCAATCACAACGGGAGTTTAAGGGCGAAAAGATTGCTCTTATTATCATATCACTTTGCACATCTGCACCACTGCTCCTGATGTCCATCACTGTGGTCTACACGTTACTTCATCGTTTCATTGATAAAGAGGACTTGGGTCCACTGCTGGTGAGTGAGCTGACTCATACCGCCTTGATCTGTTGTGTCAATGAACACTGGTGAGCACTGGGTCCATTTGGTCATCTGATCTGGAATTGACTGCTTAGTTGCCTCTTCAGAGTTGAACCGCTGATGTATGGGTTGTTCCAACCTGGCAGTTCTAAAGTAGTGGACCTGCCAGTGTAAAATCCACCCCTAACTGGAGCACGAAAAAGTGCCATGACCCACAATCTCCCTGATCATGGCCTATCTTTGACAGAGTGAGTTTGACTGTTTTTATGACAAGACAGAAACTGCAGGCAGTGAACACCCCAGATGACAGTCAGCTGACTTAGTCAGCAGTGTCCAACATACTAAGGGCATGAAGGAAGGTGCTGTTCTCTTGAAATGCAGGACACAGAATACTACTTCTATTCTGAATTTTCCTTTCTTTCTTTTCACCAGGATACATCACCCCATCACCCATTAATGAACACTAATGAGGTGAGTCATTCATTCAGACAGTGCAAGTTGCTCAAGTCAAAGAATCAAAATTCTTCCTCAGTATTTATTCAATAACAAAAATCGATATACTTTAACTTTTGAAACACATGCAGGAATACAGTGATATTTTTCTTATAATACTCAGTATATATCCCGTACCAATGAAGAGTTCTGTCAATTTTAAGACTTTTGACAGATTGCTGAATCTCTCACAGTATAGCTATGGAAAGTTCTGCACAACCGAGGATGCCAAAATTCATTTTTACTGCAGAGTTGGTCTGAAACCCCTAAGCAGTTAGTCCACCACATTATAATATATTTATTAAACATATTAAACAGATTGAGAAAATCTGGTTAAAGCATATACCTTAAACTTTCAATCCAAGTCAATGAAACCTAAAATTAACTGAATGCATAAAGAAACAATTTCCTGAAACCTCAGGGACTTTGTTACAAAGTGCACTATTTTTACCCATTTAGTGGTCCTTTACCAGTATCCTTCAGGCATCAGATCTGTTCAGAATAAATGGTAGTCCAACAGAGATGGTTTTACAGAATGCCGAATTAAGCAACTACAAATTCAGTATTCAGTTAATTAAACTGGAGTGGGAACTTGTTTAAGTCATATCAAGAGGGGCTTATTTAACAGCTTAGGTAAAATTCACATTGTAGATGGATGAGACTCCAAGTGTATCACATTTAAGACAAACAGGACAGACTTATCGTGCTTCAGGATGAACATGGAGAGAGCATGGCCGAGATGGGCTGAAGAATGACTGGGGAAGGATACGATCAGTGCCTTGAAATATCACACTGCCCTTAACCATTTCGCCCATGATGCAACCCACTGACCAGATGTCAACTGAAAACAAAGTAAAATGTTTGAAACAAACATGCATTTTAAAAATGCAAAGCAAACAGATACAGTTATACACCAAAACAAAAAAATGCTCAGTGGTTCTAGGACAGCTGAATATGCTAATAAAAAGTCCAGTAAAATCTAAGTACTGTACCACTTGTACAAGCTTATTATACAGATGCAGCCATTCAAAATGGGTGAGGTATTTCACGGCATACCGCGACACGCCCACCGGGGTATCACGCGGTATCACGTGTGTCACGTGACTAGCTATCCGGCGTCGCCTTGTAAA